GATTTTTCTTTTGCCCAAGGGGCATCTTCTCTCTGTCTCATGGGGCAGACACCGATTCTGTCCCTTTTTCTTCTCCCGTGTCCAATTCTCTTGGCTGGGATTCCCCCAGACCGTGATGCCGCTGCCAGCCAAAGGATGCCGGAGKTTGGGAGGGCTGGACAAACCATTCCCAATCGTGCTGAGCAGCCCCGGGATGCGGCGGCGGCGGCTGCTTTCTGTCCTGCTCCCGAGCAGGTGTCTGCGGGGGAGAGCGGCAGGATGGGCTGGAGCCAAATTGCCGGGACTCGGAGTGCCGGGAGCCAGCACGGGCTGGCAGCGCTGCCCCGGGGCTGCTGCCCGCCTTTCCAGGCATCATGGCAAGAAAATTTCCGATATTGGACAAATTTGCATCTGAATCTGTCCATCTGTCTCATCTCCAGCYGTCTGGAGGTTGAGATACCCAGGAGATGGGATGCTCGTGGTCCTTCCCGAATTTCCCTGAGCTCCAGCTCCGCTCTCTGCCTCTCCTTTTACCCTCCGAGTCACCCTGGGCTGCCACACCTCAATTTCTTTCCCCACCCGCATTTTTAACCCCACATCCCCACCCACTGCCGGGGCTGACCCGCTCTGCAGAGCCCCTGCTTGGGGCAGCACCACCCGCCCCATGTCCTGTTTGGGGCCAGGGGTGATGGCTGTCACCAGGATGTCCATCCGGCCGGGGGGTGGTGACTGTCACATGGGTGTCCATCCAGCCGGGGGGTGGTGACTGTCACATGGGTGTCCATCCAGCCGGGGGTGTGGTGGCCATCACCGGGGTGTCCACCCATCTTGGGGGGTGATGGCTGTCACCAGGGTGTCCACCCAGATGGGGGTGTGGTGGCCATAACCGGGGTATCAATCCGGCTGGGGGGATTGTGCCTGTCACAGGGGTGTCCATCCTGCCGGGAGATGATGGCTGTCACCGTGGTGTCCATCCTCCTGGGGGATGGTGGCCATCACCGGGGTGTCCATCCAGCCAGGGGTGTGGTGGCCATCACCGCTGTGTCCATCTGGCTGGGAGGTGGTGGCCATCACCAGGGTGTCCACCCTGCTGGGGGGTGATAGCTGTCACCTCAGTGTCCATCCTGCAGTGGTGTGGTGGCCATCACTGGGATGTCCATCTGGCCAGGGGGTGGTGGCTGTCACCAGAGTGTCCATCCTGCTGGGAGATGATGGCTGTCACCG